AATAATTTCATCAGTGAGTCATAGTATGTATGTATTCATGTAAACTGATAGGAGTCAAATTTTAGACTCAAGTGAAAGATCAAAGTAAAAAAATTTCAGTTTTACTCACAAACTTTAGAATCAAAAACTTATGTCTAAACTGTTAATGACTTGAAAAGTCTGTTAAACGTCAGAGAGCATGTGAAGCTGGTGCAGAGTAGATCCTCCATGACTGCAGTGCAGAAACAGCCAAGCATGCCCACACATTCTGTCTGATCATAATAAAAATAACAACTGTCACTATCATTAAGACGAATAGTTTTAGTTGATTATTTGCATTTGAACATTTGATAAGATGTTACAAGACTATCATTAATCAGGCTGCAAAAAAATAAGAAGAATAAATCTGATATTGATTTTATTTATGAGCACTATCTAAACATCTTCATTGTCTGCAGTTGTCAGTGTGGAAGTAAATTCTCTTATTACCTGATTTCTCTGATGTACCCCATCCACCAACAGCAGAACATCTCAGCATCCCTATTTATACAATCATATATAATAAATACATTAGATTGTTGTTCATTTACCATGTTAAAAAATCACACAAATAAAACTTTTAGAAGAATGATAATTCTGTATGTTTTTGCAGAATATCATCCCACTGAATAAACGATAAAAACAAATATACAGTATATAAAGGGGCCAGAAGATACAGTCATCATCCAAAAAAAGGTATTGCAGACATGTTGGGAGAAGGAAAGGGCATAAATAACAGGTTTTGGTTGGACAAGGGATCATATGCCAACAGGGGCAGTGTATGATAAAGAATTTTGCCCAACTAACAGAAAATTCATGTGTCGATCCTGACCTACTCAATACTAAGCACAGTAACAAAACCACTGCTTGTGAACACTTAAGTTTTACAGACTGTAAATACATGGACTAATTTCACAAACAGGGTCTGACTCCCAGTTACCAGGTGGAAATTAGTAAAAGAATGTCAGATGAGTTGTATCTGGCATATATTACCCACTCATTTAACTTGTGTTACTTTGCTCTTTAAATGTGTTATTTCATATCTATGTATATTTTACATTTTTACAGGACCCCAATCCCACCCCTTTAAATTTTAAGCATTTGTAATTCTGGCACGAGACCACCTGTGGGAGAGCTGCGTTCTTCAGTTAGTGGTTGACATCCTTACAGTAAAGCCACTGCCATGTTCAGCTCACTCTTTTGATTTATTTTTCTTTACAGAATAGCAACTTATTTTTAGAGTATGTCAAATTAGCTTGAACTCTATGGCCCTATCATATACACTGTCAGACTATTTGCAGTGCTCATGGTGTTAAAAATGAGCTGAACAGATGAGATCAACCAAAATACTTCACACTCACAAGTGTTTACACCATTTCAACAATAGAAACATCACATTCATGTTGGAGCCAGCACATTCAGGCTACCTGGAAATTAAAAAGCAGTCGGAAGTTCATTAATATTGAAGGAAAATGAACCAACAGAAATAAAAGTATTGGGATGATGCCTAGCCTAGTAACAGGCTATTACAAGAAAAAAAGTCCTAATATTACGAGATTTAAAAATGTAAAATTTTGAGAGAAAAAAACCCTAAATTTTAGGAATATTACAACAATCAATCAAACAAGGGAAAGGACAGTCAGTGGCAGTCTGAGCTGCCTATGTTTGTCCAAAAATAGAATAGACACACTTCACAATCTCTTCAGTGTCCTGATGCTGATGCTGATGATGATGATGATGAGCCATAAGATGAAGTATCTCCTTATTTATGAAATCTCTGCTAAAATACAACTTCACAGGATGCTCCACATTCCTCATTTTAAAGCTTCTGATATTTCCTCTCTAAAACAACACCCAACCTAAGATTACCTTTTAATTCTCATAATATTATGACTTTATTCTTGAAATATTATGATTTTATTCTTGTAAAATTGCGACTTTATTGTCATAATATTATGACTATTTCCTCGTAAAATGATGACCTTTTTTTCTTGAAATATTATGATTGTGTTCTCAGAATTACGACTTTATTCTCGTAATATGACTTTATTCTCGAAATGTCAGTTGTTGTTTTTTTCATTGTAGCCCTAATACTCCGTCGTACATATGGATTAATTACTTCAAAAGAAATAGAATAAATGTAAAAGGAGGCAGTGATGAAACATCAACTATGATAACTGAGACCTGAGAATGAGACGTTAGCGGAGGTCACTACCTCTGGCAGATGACAGTACAACAATACAATGCAAAATGAAGGATGGAGGAGGAAGAGACGGAGACGTTGGAGGAGGTCAGTACGTCCAACAGACGGCAGTAAAGTAAAACATAATCGAGCAAAGGATGGAGAAGAAGTTGCAAAGATGTGCGCATGCTCCACACATTAACTACAGACCCCGGCACAGTAGGTAAGAGTTGTTGTTGTCGCCGTGTCGTTGCTGACAGTGTGTTATTATTTTGTCGGACTGCTGTGAGACGCTCACCACAGCGGAGAACTAGCCTCAGCTGTGGTGGCTCAGTTAGCGGTTCATTTGCTGTTTGATGCAGGTATGTGAAGTCAGCGAGCGGTTTCTGGAGTTGACGTCCAGCTGTCCGCCAGACGTCCTACTGTGGGACTTTATTATTATCTGAATATTATTATTTCTTATTGGACACAGCACCCCGACGAGCTGCTAATGTTAGCCGTCACTGCCTTTACAGGTTTACAGGACACCGAACTAACTTTAGCTTAGCCTCCATTTTCTTGCTGCATTACCGTTAGGCCAGACTGTTCACTAACGGGTGATATGTGACACAGGACACCCAACTCATACCATAACCTTTGTTTATATGACTGACAGTGGTTACTATTGTTAATGTTACCAATGTTGATAGCATACAGTTGTATGTAAACGTTTGCCGGAAGTTATTTCATTGTGACCCTGAGCAGCTGTTTTCTTCCCAGAAATTGCTTTAACGGTTCAAGATGACGACTTCATGGAGCGACCGTCTGCAGAACTATGCCGACTTACCTGCCAACATGGACGGTGTGGCCATGAAGAAGTATCGGCGTGAAGCTCACCACAGGTACGTGTGACTGCAGCAAAAGTGCTGCCAACTTCCTGAACATGGACCAGTCCTTCAGTTCCTGACACACAACTTATGGTTTCACCAGTGATATAGTCTGTTTTCCATTTCTCATGTGTGTGTGTTTTGAATTTTCACACCAGAAAAAAAACACAGGAAAAAAAAACAGATCTCAAACTGGAATAGTGCAGGTTGGGATTTGGCGCACACCCTATTGCACCTGTAATCACATCCATGTAAACACAATTTCATGTTTTGTAAGTGATTATTCTGCCCATTTCAACTCAGTTATAATTTCATGTTCTGTTTCTTGTATGTTGCTGTCAGTTATGTCTCATAATGTCGTATATTTGCTGTGCTGCATTAATAAGTACCAGTCCAAATTAAATTCTACTGTGAGCTAAAGCAAAAGAGATCAATTGAACTAATAGTTGCTGGTTGTGGTCTGACCCAGGGAGCCAGAAACCATTTCATTTGATCTTTAGAAGAACATAATGCAAGCATGTTAACCTCTAAAACTGACTAGTAGGTTACCAGTAGCGGAAGGATTCATGGCACTGCAACAGGAAACAGAACTGGAAGTCAGTGCCTGACAGAAACCTATAAAGCAGTACTGCCACAGCTGGTTTTTTCACAGATTACTGTATTCTGTCAAGTAACTGGAAAGAATTAGTTTAAAGTCATTACAATAGCAGATGAAAACATTACTGAGATAATGCTATTGCTGACGATTATTATACTTGTTGGCTTATAAGCTGTAGTTTGGTCAAGCATATCTGAGCATGCCAGTAGGGCTGGGCCTGGAGCCTCAATCCTGTTTAGCACTGACTGCAGTGTGTCCACAGAACCAAATATCAAAAACTAGAACTGAGGTACTAAAGGCTGACATCACACGTCTGATTCACATCAACATTTGCCAATTTGGACTATATATTATGTATTTGCCATGTCTCTTGATGTTTTCTGGCATTTTCAAACTCAACCTCGGTATGGTTTCAACTCTAGTATTAAAACTTTTTCGAACGATACTCAGCCTTTCATAAAGGATGCTCCAGTTTGTTCACCAGTTACTTGTTTACTTGGGCGTTGTCATTTCATGCTGGGTGGCTTCATGGGGTTCCCCACGTAGGGTGTTACAGGGGTTCTGGGGTGAAATTGTCGGCACGCGACCTTGTATGTTCCTCTACATACAAGCAAAACAAGGACTTCACAATTTTAAATACAATTTTAAATTTCAAAAACACCTGTTAGTGAAGTTGACAAAACAATCTCAGGGTCCATTTAATGCTAAGTTCACACTACATGATTCGAGCCATGGTTTTCCACTCCCCAACAGTTTTGGAGGTCGCAGATAAAAGCCCCAGATCAGAAGCAAATCAGCAGTCGGTAGTTGCCAGCAAATCGGGACTTGATTGCTATTCGTGAACTGTTCAAAGATGATCTGAAAGATTCACTGATGCATTGCAGATGCCATAAACATATCTAGCGTTCTAAATATCTGGACTGGGAAGTCTAAATCAAGTAATGTGAGAAGTGTTACCGTTGTGACTGGCAGTGAATGGCAGTGACTGTGGTGACGAGCTATAGCTGATGAGAGTACAAGACACAAGGTGAGGGGAAAGCTGGCGGAGGAGTTGTGCAACATCCATCCTTGCTGCCCGTGTATCCCAGTCCATTCTGTTTTCTTTTTCTTCCTTGTTGCCGTAAATCAGCGCACAAACAGCTTGTATCGCTCGTTTCTTGTAAACATCTATTTTAGAAGAAAAAAAATCCTGTTTGGCGCATGGCGTCATTTTCCGTGTCACTTCTCACGTGTGTTTTCGGGACAAAACGTAGTTTGGAGACCAGACAGAATCATCTGGATTCATTCTATTGAAAGAACTTGTAATTTATGAGTCCAGTATTTCATGATTCCACATTACAAGACAAAAAGTTCTGTAGTGTGAACAGTACATGGCATTACTTGCTCACCCTGGAACTTTCAGGAACATCACACAGTCTTGAACTTTGTTTGTTTGTCATGGAACCATAATTGTTCAGACTTTCCATATTTAGGAGCATTTTTAGGACCACATGTTTGCGTAAAAGCCTGACACTTTATTGAAGACTGCGTGATATGGTTGAAAGCTCCAGAACAAGTGACTTAGTTGATCTTGAGTCGAGATTGTTTTGATCACTACTGTTTCCCAGGTCAAGAATGAATTCTCAATGATGAAGTTTAAATTCAAATGGACAGAGTATGGTAGGTTCTTCTCCACGCTCCCTTTATTTCAAAATAAAAGCACATTTATTGAAGCTTAGTTTTCCCAAGATTGACCAATCCTCAGTTTCTGATCAAAGAAGCGGATCAGCTAAGATCTTAAGAGGATCCACTGTGCTGTAAGAGCATATTAACCTGGATCAGTTATACTGCATTAATATAATGGAGCCTGGTCCCATGAAATGTATTGAAAACACTGTTTTGAAATGTGTTGAAATGTGTGAGACTGAGACTAATGTAAAATTGATAGCAGGTGGCTGAGGCAGATGTTATTACTGTTTTTGGGCTGTAACGAGTTATGAGTTTCAACAGAATACAGATTATTCACTGACAAAGACGGTGAACCAGAGCTGTGTAGTGTGACATGAGTGGTAAGACCAGCAGCCATGAGTTCAGTGGTAATACTACATGTATTCTCTATTACAAAGCTTTCCAAGGGATCTGGCTCAAAACCATCCTGCAATGAGGTATGCCATCCTTTTGTTGTTGAACCAGACTGGGACTACTGACTAAATGACTTATTTGTTTTGATGTCCATGATGTGAATTGATTCTCCATCCAACTCTCATGGAACTCCATCCATACTGACACTGATTGTGAGTCGGGTTTCTCCCTGTGTAGGCATCAGTTGGTGGTCATTGTGATTTCTTGCTGTGAGCTCCTCCTCTTGCATTTCCCCTGTTCCTGCATCTTTTCTTTAATCCCCATCTGTTGCTGTCAATCTGATGTCATCTCTCACACCATCTGAATAGAGACTGGAGGCCAGTGTGCAGTCTGAGCAGAGTCACAGATTATATGTATTGTATGTAATCTGTATTTCTGCATAGAAATAGTCAGTCATGTAAGAGAAGCAAGAAGGTGCCAAACATTTATGTAAATGTGTTTTTTTTATTATTATCTGTGCTCAAAGTGAGACTTGATGTGAGTCACTGCAGGGCAAAAATTGTCTGAAAATGTAGAACTGATGAAGATTAAAATGAGCAATTTAAATGGATACCAGTGGGGTCCTCCTTTTGTTATTGCAGGTTCTCTAACAGGCTTAGAATGCATAAATGATAGTTGAGTTCAGGGAGCTGAGGCTGGATAGGAAACCTCTTTGTTTTTTTTTTTGAGAACCAAACTTTAACATTCTCTGATTCCTGTTTCTCTACTGTGGATTTTCCGCTTCTCTCATTTTATATCTTATTTATGTTAAACTGAATAACTAATAATGTTGATCAGACAAAAAAAAAAATCAGATAAATTGATAATATAGTAAAGTAGTCATTAGTTGTAGCCCCTTTCAAGTACCAAAATCTGAAATCAAATGCTTGATCACATTTTTAGTTGTGTTGTTGTTTAATTAAATTCTCTCTCTCTCTCTCTCTATGATGAAATGAATGCAAGCTCATTCAGTAGTCCTGTAATGAGGGTTCAGATGTTCAGATTGTGTTCAAGTGATAGTTGTGGTTATTTGACATGGGGTTGTGGTACTTATCCATAGTCAGTGTATCAACCACAGTAGACTCGAATCAGCGCGCTGCCAGTTTGGAGAATCAGGCAGGAGCACCGGCACAGAAGCTGAGTAATTTCCTGCTGTGGACGGGGTCAGCAGGAAAAAAAAATGCATTTTAGCCATTTAAAAAATCTAAATCAGTTTAAGTATACATTTATAATTTGAATATTTTCACTGCTCAATCTTGCTGTCAAACAGCTGATGTGCAGTGTAATACAGTGTTTAAGCTGTGCAGCATTCAGTTTGAACAGCCAGCTGCCATGCATTCATTGACCGTACACTGTTCTCCCCTTCCAGAGTGTTTGTCAACAGAAGCTTGGCCATGGAGAAGATCAAGTGTTTTGGTTTTGATATGGATTACACTCTGGCAGGTAAGTGCAGTTTGAGCCTTTTGGTATTAGCCTGGGTAACACATGAAGGTTTAGCTGCCGTGGCCAGAGTCTGCACCATCTGCATGGTAGATTCAGTAAAGTGGGAGCTGATGAAAAAAGTGAGTCCATACAGGCCTTTCCAGTCCTACTTGACCCTTCTTTCAGTCCTACTGAGTTCATGTTTTTGCATTTGCTCACTCCCTCCTGGAATTTGTGAGTTAAAGCTAAATTCTAAAAATTATTGGCAATATTTTCTATAAGTTGCAATGTATTTACAACCCAAACATTTTTGTGAGAACATTTTTTTTTTGGAATAGTGCGCCAATTTTGTTCTAACCATTTAAAAATAAATCAAAAATAATAACCACTTTTATAAGAGACTGAGCCTCAATCTCAAACCAACTTCCTGGTGAGTAGGACTTTGTCTCCCTGGAAGCTTCCTTCTCAGGCTTGGTGCTTCTCAGCTCTCACCCCCAGACCGTGTATCGCTCTGACAGAGCTTCTCCAGTTGTTTGTAAAGTTACCAACACCCAGCAGTTTAGATTTAATAGGTAAAACTGTTTTTGCCAGCAGCACTACATATCACTGTAGGAACCATTTGGAATCACTAAGGAGGGGTCTCAAACTTCTTATGAAATGTTAACTATGTGTCATTACATACTGCCTACTAATGAATTTTTTCTTTTTTTATTAACAGAAAAAATGTATTAAAGTAGCTGATAAAATAAGATAAGTTAATAAAGTAAATACAATAAAATACAATGTAAATGGATCAAAAACGGGGCAGCACATTTTCACAGTAAAAGTATTCATGACCAAATGAGTCAGTGTCTCAAAATTTCAAATCTGGATGATCTGAACATCAAAGTTGTTGGTTCTTGGGGTCGGTTGGTCCTCGGCCCAGTTCACTGGAGCACCCACTGTAACCCAAGCTGCTGCCGCTCAACTGTGTGTTGAGGTATTCCTGGCCTGAAGGCAGTCAGACTGTAATGCCACACCATGATAGGAGGAGGGGGGCAGTAAAACTACTGATAAAATTCATCACCCTCTGGTAATGACTGAAAAATCCCTATCCTTTTGTTGAAAAAATGACTCAGATTAATCAGAGCCTCTATCACACCATCAGGCTCCTTCATTAGGCTTCCTCCCTATCTCTCAGAATGAGTTAGCTGACATTATAACCCACCTATCCAAAGTCCTGTGAAGTAGTTATCAACTATTCCATCTCTGCTTGTTTTCCCCACTTACTTTAACTTTTAACACTTCGATTGGCTGAGGAAGTGGGTAGGGATAACTGGTACACCAGTGGAAAGGTTCGCTTCTTGTTTATCATTGTATCATTGCAAATTGTTTGTATAATATCAGTTGCTCCAGGATTTTGAGATTGTGGCTAAAATACATGATTTTGCGGCAGCTTTTCTTAAAAGTTGCGATTAATGTTTTTAGATGTTTTTTGTTTTTTTGCAATGAAACTGCAGGAGAAAATATAAACTGCAATAATTTTTGCTATCATTTTTTGTATAATTCATTAAAAATCAAAGGCAACTTGTACCAGTGAGAATAAATCCAGTGCAGGGCTGTTAAATTTAGAACTAAACTATAAACAACTTGTCTTCACCATATATCAGTGAATTACTGACCCCGTATACATCCACCAGGCCTCTAAGGTCATCAAAGCTTCTGATTGTGCCATGCTCAAAGTTCAGGACCCGTAGTGACCAACGTTTACTGTCCTGACCCTCAGCTTAGGGTCAGGATAGAAACCTCTGAGTATTTTAAATCTCATCTCAAACCAGCCTTTCATTTTCTCAGAGGCATTTTATTGACCCTCCCTGCCCTGATTTGTTTCATTTTATTATTCTTTTAATAATTTTTGTCTTTGATTGAATTATGCATTTATATGCTTTTGTCATTGTATGTTTTTAATGCAATCAAGATGCACTTTATAACTCTGATTTTAAAAGCTCTGTATAAGTAAAGATTTACCTAGATGTTTACTTGCAATAGTCATCATCTGTTAGTCATTTGTTATGTGCTTCTAGACCCCTGTGCTGCAGGTGCAGGTAACAACATGTCAATCAGTCAGTCATACATGACAAGCTCTCTGTGCAGTATTCTTCAGTGTTTTTGGTGCTGTGCCTTCATCAGGGTGATTTGTGTGTTGTGAACATGAGCCTCTCCCTGTCTGTCTGTAGTGTATAAATCTCCTGAGTATGAGTCGCTGGGCTTTGACTTGACAGTCGAGCGTCTGGTGTCCATTGGATATCCACAAGAGCTGCTCAACTTTGTCTATGACCCCTCCTTCCCCACCAGGTCAGTTCACAAAGCCCTGCCTCTTTTTAATACTGACTTCATATTTTAAATTCAATTCAATTGCAACAAGTTCTCACTCTCAGGTTTGCCTTCTGCTTCCTGTCTTCCTCAGAGGTCTGGTGTTTGACACGATGTACGGCAACCTGCTCAAAGTGGACGCCTATGGGAACATCCTGGTGTGTGTGCACGGGTTCAACTTCCTAAGGGGGTGAGGTTCACTAGTCCCACATACTCCACCACATCTCTAAAGAACTAGGCAGTTTTCCACATCATGAGACCCTTCATTCATCCCTCCAATAACAGTACTATGCAAATGAATCACTAACAAACTAAGAATCTACAGCCAAGCCAGCAGCACTGAGCATCATCCAGGCTGATGGGAATGTGGTTAGTTTGACAGGTATTTGGTATTAAACCAAAGTATTGGACATATTGACCTGATGATGGTGCTGGATGAAAAGTCAAAGTTAATCCTGAGTGGAACGTGACTGAGTTACACATCCAGTAGATGTTGAGACTCACTCATTTCCCTCAGAGCCACAAATGTCAACCTCATGTGGAATGAGAAGAAAAGCAATTATCAAATTTTGTGCCAATCTTTTGATGTTGAGAAAAAATGTCATATTTCACCTGCTGTTGATGCTACAGGAAATGTTAGGGAATCACCAAAGTCCAAAAAGATTCATCCTCTGAGGACCATAAATGTAAAGAGTTTCATGACAATCCATCCAATAGTTTATGAAGGAGAAAGATTCCAACAGGAACACTTCTGATATCCACACAACCCCTGGTGCTCTTGTTACTGTGAAGCAGCGTCTTCATGTGCAGATCTGTGTTGGTGTTGGTGGTATCTCATGTTCTGAGAGCACACACACAGAACACACATGCATGTAACAAGCACAGAGGTGGAAGATGGACATTTCTGACTACAGGAGAGGGAGCTGTTAGAAATGTAATCTAATGTACAACATGACTCTGTGTACAGTATAGTATAACTCTGTTTCCTGGTTTGACTTCCTGTAAGAATGTATGTATGTATCTGAACTCACTCTGCACAGACCTGACATCAGAGAGATGTACCCAAACAAATTTATTCAACGTGGAGATACAGATCGCTTTTACATCCTCAACACACTCTTCAACCTGCCTGGTAAGAAAAGATGTCAACACAACTTCTCTACAACTTTTATACAATCTCAGAGTAAAAGATGGAGAGGGACTATTAAAACATAATAAAATCCAAAATGTAAGATTTTAAGGGAAATCAGCAGGGCACAATCAGAGCGGACATTTTACCATGAGGCTTCAGGTACATTTTTGATCAGATTTATGATAATTTATTTGAATAATCATTTAGCTTTAAAGATAATAGATTAAAAAACAAAAAAAAAAACATTTTACTTTTCTGCAGCGTCACCTATATTGGTGTTCTCCAGTGGGTGTGATTGTTGGTTTTGATTGTTTGTGCTCTAATTTGATTGGTTTAGTGTCTGTGTGAACACATACTAAAAATAGATTGGTGGGGTTGGGGGTGTTACTCCATTGAGCGCTTTAAAAACCAAGAGCCAATGGAGAGAGGCCAGGATGCGGGTAATTTGATCCCTTTTCCTGGAACCAGTCAGAACCCAAGCCGCAGCGTTGCAGTTGCAGGCGAGACAAGGATGACTGACAGAGTCCAGAATACAGGCAGTTACAGTAGTCAAGCATGGAGGATATGAGAGCATGGATGGAGGAAAGGTTGTATTTTCGAGATGGTACGAAGCTCAAAGAAACTGGATTTAACTACTTCCATTTATGTGATATTAAAATTATCATCATAATTTTTATAACTAAAATATAACTGATAAATATATATATATATAACTGGGAAACTCTGACTGTATCCGACTAACACAGAAGTTCCTAAAAACCAAACACGTGTGGACACCTCACATCAACCGAAGGACATCATTGAGGTTTATTTCACCCAGATTTGATGGATATGATGTTTATTGTTAATGCACAGTATTTTAATCAAACAACCAGCTCTTAAATCTCATGAAAACCTGTTAACACTAGCAAGTCCTTAACATGGGAATCTTTCCCATCATGCATCCCATGTAATGTGAACACTTCATCAGCCTCTTCCCTGTGGCCGTAGTGAAAAAGAGAGAATTGTACGTAGCTCGTATGACCATTTGTAGGCCATTTGTAAGTATGTTTTCAGTAAGATGTAAGTTGACAGTGCGCCACATGATGATCAGTCATCTGCTGCCCTCTCAGCTGCTTGAAGCTTTGACATGTTTTACACTGCTTTGTCCTACAACAGTTAGAAAAATGTAAAAAATAAATATGCAACTAGCTGTGGTATCATAGTGTCACATTTTATATATTCTTACTCAAAAAGTATAAGGATTTTCAATTTTGGTTTTGGTTCAACTTGAACTGGATTTGACGATGAATCTGATTCCACTGGTTTCTTCACAACGTTAATTTGTCATGTTGGATATATGTTGATATTCAGCTTCACAGTCATCTCACTGTCTTCTTCCTCAGAAACCTACCTGTTTGCTTGTCTGGTTGATTTCTTCAGTAACTGCTCCAGATACTCCAGGTACTGTTGCACACAGCGTACTGTCTGTCTGTGGGAAGTGAAGCTGGTTCGGAATAAGAGCCTGTTTAATGATTTAATAATGTTCAGTAGAATTTCATTATCCTGCTCTCTCAGAAACACTGACTGCATTAACTCCATTAATTGTAATGGTCTCTGTAGTTGTGAGACTGGCTTCAAAGATGGTGATCTCTTCATGTCCTACAAGAGCATGTTCCAGGACGTCCGAGACGCTGTGGACTGGGTTCATTTCAAGGTAAAATAATTACAGCTGTCAGTTGCTCCTGCAGTCTGTGCTCGGTTCATCCCCAGCTCTCAGTCCACTGTTATTCTCTTTCTTTTCAAAGGGGTCCTTAAAAGAAAAAACAGTTGAGAATCTGGAGAAGTACGTAGTAAAGGATGTAAGTATATACAGCAGCTATTAGTTTATAGTTTGGGTGACAAATACCATGTCTCATCTTTTGCCGTTCAGTCTGTCTGCATTGTTGTTAATGTTTGTTGTGTTCCTCCTCAAAGCCGAAGCTTCCTCTCCTCCTCAGTCGCATGAATGAAGTAGCCAAAGTATTTCTGGCCACCAACAGTGATTACAAATACACAGAGGTGAGATGAAAGTTCAGTCACACATGTTAATGAATGCTGAAAGCAAAGCAGAACCTGCTGTCTTGTCTTGTTTTATCTTCTGTCAGGTGATGTTAATGAGTTCTGTCTTCTTTTGTTCTGGACCACAATGTAAAAACAAACCCTCCCCTGTCTTACAGAAAATTATGACCTACCTGTTTGACTTCCCTCACGGCCCAAAGGTAACACTGTTGATCAAATAAAGATTCTCAGATAATGTGTATCGTCAGGGACCTGAATGGATTTGACTTGAACTACCTTGCTTGTGTTCAAGAGAGAAAAATGAGAAATGGCAGATGTCGTTTAATATGAATGAGATGAAGTCTCTGTAGACAGGGTGCTGTGCAACCGTACAACCAGGCTTTAATTAAAAACCTTTGAAATAAAGAAAAGTAATTCAAACAGGAACTTTTCTAATCTCCCCATAGCCACTGGTGGCGTAAACCGGATATAATTTAAAGAGAAAAATGTAATAAAATATAATAAATATGGGCTAATACAATATAATTGTATTTTGAAACACATCTTTTGATGTGTAAGTGCTCATGAAATGTAGGTCACACCATGTTGTGACTTAAGGATTTTGTCCTTAGTGGTTAAAGCATTTAATGCTTCCTCAACTAGCTTGAGTATAACTCCATGCACCTGAACAAGGACCGACACACGGGGTTCATTGTGTGTCAGAATACCTGAACAAGCTAAGCCTGCTGACACATGTTGGTGTGGGGTTTTTTATTGTATTAGCTCACATTTATAAAGCAGCTTTTATATTTCACCAACCACTCGAGAACCTGGAATTCGATTTTTTGGTACTACTTTACAATCAGACTCCCCTTATTAAGGATTCATCAATGGTTTATAACTAGTTTATTAATGAGCTTGTTAACACTATAAATAATTTATAAGCTGTTATAACACATGAAATAAAAAGGGCAACAGCGAACTGTTGCTTGCCAAATAGTGAGCACACAATAATCTGTTCTGTTAAGCCTCATATCTCAATATTTACTCCATCATCAGTGTTTGTACCTGCTGCTTCATGACCCTAATGTTAATTTACTAGTAATTAATCACATTACATTTATAACTGGTAAAAGAAGCCTTATTGTAAAGTGTAAAACCCATCAACATTTATTAATGAGTTACTAGTTAAAAATAATAGTAGCTCATTAATATATGGTGATGTGTTTCACACTTTACAATAACTCATTATGTGATATTATGATCTATAAAGTGTTAACAACCAAATTAATAGCCTAATTTTAAACTATTTATAAATCCTTATTGTAAAGTCGTCCTGATTTTTTTATTCATTTATTTATTTTCTTATTTTTATTTTTTTATGCCATGATGCTGTACAGCTGTATGATGATGTACGTGTGTGTGTGTGTGTGTGTGTGTGTGTGTGTGTGTGTGTTTGTGTGTGTGTGTGTGTGTGTGTGTGTTCATTACAGCCGGGCACACCCCACCGGCCCTGGCAGTCCTACTTTGACCTGATCCTGGTCGACGCCCGGAAGCCCGTGTTCTTTGGAGAGGGAACAGTTCTGCGGCAGGTCGACACTGTGAGTGTTCACTACAGAAGCCTGCATGGACACAACACCATACTCTGCTGACTGTACATTTGAGAGCAGTAATGTGGGTCAACTACATTTTTGCTGTGTAAAGACATAAATATTGTGTGTGAGTGTGTGACTGAGTCTTGGTTTCTTTCAGACCACAGGTCGGCTGAAGATCGGCACATACACCGGACCTCTCCAGCATGGTATTGTTTACTCTGGAGGTAAATAAGAAACCACCTGAACACAGCATGTTGATTGTTTCTTATGATTTAATTTGGTGTAACAACCATCAAAGTGTGTCTCAATGTGTCTGGCAGTGGTATTTGCTTATTTCTCATGAATCTGATCATTTCTCACTCTATGTAATGTAGATGTACTTGATTTTAAACCCAATTCAAGTGGTTGTACACACACTAATGCTAGACAAGAATTAAAGGTGTGTTTACAGCAGGAATGTAAAACAGGACTGTGTTACATTTGTAGTTCTAATCAGTTGAGAAACTGAAAAAGATTTGTTGTGTAACACAGGAATAGAATATGGAATATGTGCTGAGTCATATAAGCACTTGTTAGTTTGAAGTGTAGACAGCATTAGAGCCACCGATGTAATGTAATACCCTGTATCCTCATATGTGAAAGAACACTGCAGGCTGTACATGGAGAACAGCACCATCATATCTGTGCAGTAGTCCCACGCAGCCCCTAGCCTGAGGCTGTCTGTGCTAAGCTCTCCTCCTCCATGTCTTCAGTCATGGTGGGTGGTGGTGCTCATGCTCACTGTCCTACTCTTTGACCCAAACACCTCCCTGTTGTTGCTGCTGGAAGGATTACCTCAAGCATTAGCAAGCAGACACCTGATGTTTAGAACAGCAACTTCATGTAAAACCATCACAAGTTATTGCTGTGAGACGATGAAAGTGGGCAAAATGGTTATTTTTCTTTTCTACTCCCAGGTTCCTCAGACATCGTGTGTGACTTGCTGGGTGCTAAAGGAAAGGACATCATCTACATTGGAGACCACATTTTCGGTGACATTCTCAAATCCAAGAAGCGTCAGGGCTGGAGGACTTTCCTGGTGATACCGGAGCTGGCTCAGGAGCTGCACGTGTGGACCGACAAGAGCTGTGAGACCGAACACATACACACACAGATATATGCACATACAGCTATATAACCCCAACGTTTTAATAGAATTAAACAGTGTTGTTCAGCGGTTTAAATTAAAAGCTGTTATGATTTGGCTTGATTAGATTTAAGTTGTTCATTAGACAATTGGGAAGTAAAAAATCCTCCTACATTACCATGCATGACAGAAATGTGAGTGGGATTCAGTTTTCTGTTGATCTCTAGTGGTCTGCAGTTCACACAGTGTAACCAACTGTAACCCTGTCGCCATGAAATCATTCACTGAAACTCAGATCATTGCCAGGCTCACTAGTAAAACATGTTGTCATGTTTTCTGACTGTCTTCAGGGATGCAGTGTGATGTTCTAATGCCAGTCTTTGTTTTTCAGCCATATTTGAGGAACTTCAGTCTCTGGACTGCTTCCTGGCAGAGCTTTACAAGTGAGCTCCTTCTCAGCTGTTTGTTGTATCTTGCAGAAATCCAAAGGTTCTTAATGCACCTTTCAGACATTTGAGGTGAAGAAAGATCAAAAAAAGATGTTAATACAAGAAGAATTTATAGAAATTGGCTCCAGGCATAAAAGTTGTAGTCAACACTCACACATATGAGAGATTTCAGTTTTTGAATATTAAGAAATGTATAAAAATGTCTGGAAACATGTTCACACATTCACTTTGTCTTTATGGGTTACTGAGTTTAGACTGATGAGCAAATATGTCAGTTTTCTCAATTTGAAACACAATAAAGTGAAAGGGTTTGAATACTTTCTGAAGCCTCTGTTAATTGCCTGAAAGGTGATAATTATTTAGTTTCCCCTCCAGTGTGGTAGGATTACCTATGCACACTGTGTTTTGCAGCAGTTATTTATCCCTGTTGTTATGGCAACATGGATAGAAATAATGTCCAGGTACTGAATTTGCTGATAGTCTGATACATAGCGATTACAGTTCTAGAATAAATAAGTCCTGGTGAACCTCTGTACATCACTGCTCTGACTTTTTTAAACTGCATTGATTTTTCTTTAACTTTTAATCATTTTTTTTATGCTGATTCATATGCATCTACTGGTTAGTAATTATTGATGATTATTGATTATTTGCAGTGTTAGTGTTTGATTCGTTTATTTCTATTCTTCAGTATTATTCCACTGTTTCTGTACATTTGCTCTAAGTGTTCAGTATTTGCTCTGATTGACAGAATGACCCAGTTATTCCACCAACACATGTGGTTCTGCAACATCTGGTGTCAGCACAGTGTCTCAGACCAAAATACCAATTCGCTCTGCGTCGCCCCATTTGAATGAATCTCTCCCTGTGCCAATCTTTACTATATTAAGTGTCAGTGTTTCTTCACTGTATGAAACTAACCTGGGCTGTACGGTGCCTTTGTTTACAGAGAGTGTGTAGAAACTCACAGCAGGTCATTTAATCTTGCCTGACAGAGCTTGTGAAGTGACCAACTGATGTGGAAACTACATTTTAAAGTAAAAGTAAACTTGTGTTTGGTCTTCAGGCATCTGGACAGCAGCAGCAATGAGAGACCTGACATCAGCTCCCTGCAAAGAAGGATTAAGGTACAACTTCCTCTGACGCTCATGTTTCCTCCTCCTGTCTTTCACCTAGAAACAGCTCCACTAGACACAAAAGTCGACCAGTGTGAGATTTTGAAGGATAACTGTGTAAAAATGAAAGTTGTCATTATTTCCATCACTACTGCTGTTCAACATGACAATGACAGATCTCTGTATCCTTGGTTACAACCAAGTAAATGTTCCTGAGCCTTGTTTCAGCTCTGACTGTTGAACACAAGAGTTCCTGTAGGAGCTGCAGGACTGCAGAGCACCATCAAAGCTTCTTTGAAGCTGTGATCACAATTCTGTTCAATACAACGTTATTTATCCCTGTGAGGACAGTTGAATGTACAAGGAATGGAGTTTTTTGAATGAACAATATCTGTTAGAAATAAAAGGTTTTTCCTAATTTGTCGTGTCAATCATGGCTGCCGGGACAAATGTCAGTGAATGAAATGTCATGCATGTCTCTGTGTCTCCGTGTCTCTCATGTCTCCAGAAAGTGACCCATGACATGGACATGTGCTACGGCATGATGGGAAGTCTGTTTCGCAGTGGCTCCCGTCAGACGCTGTTCGCCTCCCAAGTGATGCGCTACGCCGACCTGTACGCCGCCTCCTTCATCAACCTGCTCTACTACCCCTTCAGTTATCTTTTCAGAGCTGCACACGTGCTGGTGAGAGTCACTCACTGCTGACACTCTGTACAGACTCCTGTGTGTGTATCCGTCTGCGCTTCATGTATTTTTTTTCCTCCTAGATGCCTCATGAGTCAACGGTGGAGCACACCCACGTCAGCATTATCGACACAGAGTCTCCGCTGGCCACGCGAAACCGTCACGACGTCGACTTCAAGGAGATGGAGTGCAAACGGCACCAACTGACCCGATCCATCAGCGAGATCCAGCCCCCTCACTTCTTCCCCCAGGCTCCTCAGGAGATCACTCACTGCCACGATGAGGATGATGACGAGGAGGAGGAAGAGGAGGAGGAAGAGGAAGAAGAAGAGGAAGAAGAAGAAGAGTAGATGGAGGGAGAAGAGCAGAGGAGTCTGAGTCTTTCTCACATCCAGTTCGTCCAGTTTTAATGTTTGAAGTTGATCTTTTCTTTTGTTGATAACCACAGGGCTGCAGCAGCTGATTCTAACTGTCAGAGCCACTTTTACATTTAGAAAAACAGGTTCACTGTGTCAACTGGTCTGGACCTGATCTTGTACAAGACAGGGACTACTGTAGATTCAAGTGGTCTTGCTACGTCCCTGGTAAGTGTACCTGTCCACGAGTAAATCAGAATTCGAAAGTGAGTTTAGATTCCTGTCTGTTAGTAGTATAAGATGCAGGCAGTGAGGTGTTGAAAAGAGAATAACTGCCATACTCGTAGAGCAGCTGTTCGTTGTTTGATCCTCCTGGTTCTGTTGGGTTTGTTTAATTTCCTGCTTTTGTTGGAGTCCAGTCTATGTTTCTTCTGTACTGTAAACAGTTTACTGCCTTACTGCTTAATTCTGCACCGTACCTCCAACCTCAAAACATGTGTAACACTGAGGTGAAGAGATTAACCTTAACCCGTCTTAAAGGAGCAGTCCACCCTAAGACTCTGTAACAGTTGGCACAGCCACGTTTGTCACATAAGTCACGTTCAGGAACTAAAAGGTTCATGAGGCCCATTGTTGTCTGCGTTTCCACTGCGGCCTTAAGTCTCAGGAAGACTATGCAAATCAGGCCGATGGTGTATGGAAAAGCAGGTAAATGCACTACACCCTTTCAGTCCAGTATACAGGACACATTGCGTCCCGTATGGATTCAATGCAGGACGCAGCATTTTATTTTCAAATATGGGACAATCCCGTATTATACGTGACAGGTGGCAACCCTAGCCACTCCAGCTGTTGTGGTCTTTTATTTTTTTATAGTCCTGTTTCAGTTTTTTTTTTTACCTTCTCACCTTAAACCCTGGTTCCTGTAGTCGAAGCGTGCATAGTTCTTCAAAAGGTTCCTGGTTCCTGGGGAAAGTTCCTGCGGTGGAAACGCGGCTATACTTTATATTTTTGGGACCATATTATTGTTTGTGTCATTTTTCTTCCACTCCCAAAGAGACCTGGTCAAATGTAGAGATGTGATGATATGTTGAGGTATTTTAGCACAAGTAGAATTCAACAAAAGAAATGATTTAGCTAACTAACCCTAAAAGAGCCATTTGTAAGTTTTGCTATTACTACATCGTTGGCATTAACAGCTGTTTACTTATCTGTCTTGCCAAGAGCTTCAGCCATCATATATTTCAAGAGGTCATAATACACTCTCTGAACAGTGTTACTTCCTCAGGGCAGACTGGACACTGCAGTGACTCAGTATTGGAAAGTGACCAGACAGTTTGACTGTGCCGGAGCTAGCTGGCTAGCATGCTAACTGCAGTACAAGAAAAGAAGCGGCAGATGTAGAAGCAAAACAATAGGGTTGCCTTCCACCACCTTTACTCTTGGCAAGTAAACAAATGAAGTTTGATGTCTAACTCACAACGTTTCTTCTTAAGTTAACAGCTGTTAATGCTAATGTTAGCTAAGTAGCGATGGCAAAACTTACAAATAGCTCCTTTAAAACATTCACAGTGAATGTCTGGTGGTGTGAGACGCATGTCTCTCAACAGAGCACAAAGCAATGCAGCAGTAAATCAAGATGTTAGCATCATCTTGTTTTATCCTCGACTGTCCTCAGTGTTGAAAAGCACAAACTTTCATCTGATTGTGAATTTTTCTTTTTTTTTTTTTCATCCCATTTTGAGTTTCTTGAAAAGAAAGAAGATTCTGGGATATGAAGAAACAAAATAACAACATGTCAGAGCATGGGGAAACTGAACTGTAGTGTGTGTGCAACACAGCTGCTGAAACTAGTCAGTCATAAAACGGTTAAACTCCAGAGGAGTATTTTCTCTTTCATTTTGTGATGCCTGCTGGAGTGATGTGAAGTCAACAACCAGCTTCACTGTTTTTAATACCCAGTTCTTTCCCTCAGAGTTGTAAAATAATACCACATTTCTTATATTCCACAGAATCAGAAAGACTTTGGGGCCAAGACTATCATCCTGAAGTCCCTCTGTCCTATGGTCTGGCTGCATTATGTGTTTTTTAAATTACTGCAGAAGTAATGTAGATATGACTCCCTGCACAGTGTTTGCAATGGATTGTGAAACAGTTATTGCCTTATTCATCTCACTTTGAGCTGATACAGTGAGAATGAATGAGTTTGATTGTTAAAGACTATATTTTAAACATTTATGGTGAATTGATTTCATGAGAGGTAAAATGTATGGAAAGCCATTTCTGACAGGAAAAATACACAGATGATACATTTGAAAAACAATACTTACTGTAGGTTAATATTACAAAATAGCAAGTTGATTTTTTTTTTTTTTTTTACTTTCTAAGTCTATTTTATTTTTAATCACAAAGTCATAATTATGAGAAGTCAATTATTTGACTTGAATTAGATTAAAAATTTAGACCAAGTTATAGTTTAGATTATCTCATTATTATGAGATAGTTAAGAAGTCAAAATGTAGACTTAATATCCATCATTATTCATATGTTGTAAATGTAAGTTCTAATTTCCATTTATAATTTTTGTCAAAGTTTGTCAATGTGACAACGTGAAACGTGTTGACTTAGTGTCTTTCTTTTTTCTTTTTTCTTGTCTTCATTTAGCAATGGTCAAATTTAGGTAATAAGTCATATTTATGAGATAATAAAAAATATTGACAAATTGGTCAAATTAGGTCAAAATTTTGTTTTTTTTTCTTACTGTATATAAATTTGACATACATTCTCATAAGTTTGAAATAAAAAGTCCAAGTTTAGACTGTATTCATTTTTCCTGGCAGTAATGGTCCTCCATAGAGAGGTGAAACTACTGTGTTTCTCTAACTGTAGTTTGAAGTTTATCAGCTGATCAGGTCTGTCTGCTGTATACATGCTGTTACTGTAATGGGAGAGGTGGACTGAGCTGCTGATGTGTCACTGTGGGCCTGTCTCTGTGTGCACTAATGTCATCACAGATACTGCCAGTATATGCAATAGTGTCTTTTAATAAGCTTCAGAGTTGATTCGGTTGTTTGTTTTTTTCTTTGATTACCATCATGTCTTTAACCTCCTGCCCTAATTTTAAAGGAGCTGTGATTTAACAGGAGGACCTTGTCTGCTGGACTGATGCACAGTATTGATCCTTTGATGAGGTGAACAGTGAAATACTCCTTGTTTTACAGGCTGTGTGATTGTGCTGTTTGTGTGTTACAGCCGCACACAGAAAGTTTCTGATTGAATATGTTGGAGCTGCCTCGTCCTGTCTGGACTGATCAGCTGGATCTTTTCTCTCCTTGTTGTGGGTCAAAGTTTAAATGTCCTGCTGTCTGTTAGGTCTGCGCTCAAATGGACAGTTGATTGACTTATTTCTGCCCGGTTGCACGTTGAGATATTTATCCGGATATTTGAGTACGGGAGCAATTTGTTACACTGCTGCTGTTGAAAAAGAAAGGTTTCAGAGTGGACACCCCCAGAGTGAGCAGCAACAATGATTTACAATGGTCAGTTTTCTTACTCAAGTCATTTCAGAACTGCATGCCTGTGTTAATGACAGCGGTCACTGTCAGCTGCTTTGAAAACTCGCTTCAGCTTCAGACAGATTCAAGTATAAAGTGAACCAAATGAATGTATTTTTACCTGCAACAGTTGATGCATGTGTTGAAGTTGCATTTTAATTTGAAGAGAATTGAAACGTTGAGACGGTTTGAGTCATGACTGATGTTTGTAATAAATTTTCTGATCCAATATGGCAGCTGAGTTTTGATTGTTCAGTCAAAGTTACTCATAAAACTCCAGTATTGTGTCATGACTTATATATCCGTGGGTGATTGTTGCAAGTGTTGTATTGTTATTGTGTACAGAGTCACATCAGACTGTTCATCACACCAAATACTAATGTGGGGTTCCCTCCTCCAAACACCTGACCAAAGGTTTTCTTGTCTGTTCTGTTTCATTATTCTTTCATGGCTTTATCCTCATTTACACACACTAACAATAACTGATATTACAAACAAAATATATATGAGAAAAGAAAGTTAAAGGAAAGAATTATATACACACATGCAGTATGTACTCATACAGTGCTGTGCAAACATTTTAGGCACTAAAAGTAAAGTCAGGATATTTGCAAATATAATACCATGAATAGTTTTTAGCCCTGATCCCCCAAAACAACACCTGTTTTCCAAAGTACTTGGCAGGTACAGTAGATTGTTCTAGCATCTTGGAGAACCTGCCTCATTTCTTCTGTGGATTTAGTGTCTCAGTGTCCCTGTTGCTTCACGTAATCCAGGACGGACTCCATCACGTTGAGATCAGAGCTCTGTGGGTAACAGACCGTATGCTGCAGGACTTCTTGTTCTTCTTGGCTTGAAGACAGGTCTTAATGTGTCTGGGTGTGTGTTTGGGCTCATCGTCCTGCTGCAGGATGAACCGGGTGCTGATCAGATGCCTCACTGACGGGACTGTGAGGTGGAGAAGAATCTATATCTATATATTTAAAGTGCATGAGAGAGCTTACCTAACTTCAGCAATGAAGACAGAAACATCTGCACACACCACATGAGAGGGAGCTGAAACTGCTGTGATAAATTGGTACAGTGCTGTCACAGAACCTTTGATTGCAAGTGATGATTGCACATTTTCTGTTTCCTTTGATGTGATGTATAAAACTTGTGTTTCAGAAGTGTTTATTTTGTGTTCAGCACTTTGGACTCAGAGCTTAAGGAATGTGGATTTAAAGTTCCTTATAATCTAAAGTTCTCTGTCTATGTGTTGTTTGATTATAAAGCAGGTCTAGGTTCTATATTAATACTGTGAAAGTATCAAAGCCTCAGTCCACAGAGAAATGCACACAGCCTGTATTCAGAAACTGAGTCTAAAAACCAGCCGTCAGGACTTTTGGAACTTTGTGATGTCACTGCTCTCAGCCATGCCCCAAGCATGAGAGCCATCTCACCTGGACCCACCATCCAACCTTGTAGAATTTGGTTTCTCTGAGTGTTTACCTGAAATCTGCTATATTTTTTATTGGATCACTCAGAAAACAGTCAGCCAATCAGAAGAGAGGCTCAGAACTTTCTCTCCTCTGATTGGCTCACTGACCTGTTCTTAGAGCTCCAGAGAGAAGCCTGAGAGGGGAGATGTAAAACTACACTGAGATGGTTTTTGGTTCTTGAAACCATAAATATATCTTCTTATGGATCAGCACTTCAAAATAAAACACTGGAGAAGAGGAAAATATGGAGCTTTAAAGGCTCAGATCACCCAAATCTACAAAAAACATACTTTCATACTTTCCTCTGGTGTCTCTCCATGCCAAATGCAGATACTTTTAGTGTTCATCCAGGATGTAAATCATGTCTCTGGAATTTCTGTTTGCAGCCAATAATATGCTGATGCATGGATTTTCCTCTGCTATCCACCACCATCGTCCAATCAGGGAGTGTGTTTTAGAAGGAAGCACTTAAACTGTTCTGGTTTCTCAACACACTTTATTCTGTGTTTTCATTTTAGTTGTCACCTGTCTGTAGTGGACAATTTTCATTAAGCTGTCTCAGTGGATAAGGGGCAGAATCAGCATGTATGAACTTACTTAGGACACAGCTGTTTCAGAGTTTGTTCTAAGAAAACTGTTGTATCCGTGTAAGTGAAGCATGTTTTACTCTTTGCCAAACACAAAGTTTAGTGTTGAAGTCATGAGTGAGTCAACCTCTGGGGTGTTGCCTGATCAGTCTCTGGCCCTGGACCTGTATCCTGGCTTCCTCTGGGCTCTGATAAGAGGAGAAAGAACATTATTTAAACTCAAGGTTTAAGAGGGGAGCTGAAAAAGACCTGGCTCCACATAAGACCTTAAACCCCCTGACAGGGTCAGCTCTGTGCCTGGAGGGGTGCGATACAGGCTGAAGGCAAACACTGACCAAAACCATACCAACCAAAGTCCTTCAGCTGACAAGAAGACATGTCAGTGACACAGGTCAAAGGTCAGATGTCAGCTGAACTCTGTTTGGAGTTTTAAAGGTTTAAAGGTCTGGCTGCAGACAAACACACATTTACACACATGATAGACAAAATAAACAATTCAGTAGTGCCAATAGTATCAAACATGTTAAATGTTTTAAAATGTTCAAAAGCAGTGAAAGATTTCAAATTCTTAATTTCTTATTAGTCATTCCATCTGTAGGAGCTCAGTCTGAACATGTGGTGCAGCTGTGACCTGTCACCTGACATCAGAGGTAGTGAGGCTGTTTTTATACATTTGCATTTATGGTAGATGGACTGAACTTATACAGAGCTTTTCTAGTCTTATCAACCATTGAAGGTGCTTTACACAACAAGCCACATTCACCCATTCACACACACGTTCATACAGCGCTTTCTTCTACACATGCAGTGCTTTTCTACCACAAACACACACTCACACACTGATGTAACATCTGGGGAAATTTGGGGTTCAGTATCTTGTCCAAAGACACTTCAACATGTGGACTAGAGGAGACAGGAATCAAACCACCGACCTTCACACGGCCCGCTCTACTTCCTGAGCACCTTTCTACCTTCATAGAAAAGCACATAACAGTTTGCTTATCATTCATCCACTCCCACACACTCTTACACACCAATGGCCAACCATCAGGAGCAATGTGAGGTTCAGTGTCACCAACTCTACAATAGCTGTAATTAAACCTCTTCCTAAAATGCTCTTGATCCAGGTGTGTTAGCCAACTATAGACCTCCAGCCTTCCCCTCCTCTAGGTCTTTGAGAAAACAGCTGTCAATCAGTTGTGTGACTTAGAACAGAACAATTGTTTATTAGAGGATTTTCAGTCTGGATTGAGATGCATCATAGCACGGAGACAAACGACCTGCTAACTGCAGTTGATGAAGGACTTGTCTCTGTGCTTGTTTCCCTCAGAAACACTCTGCCTTCCCTCTGAAAACATCAGCATGCTTTTGATCTCTATGATCCTGTACGTGTCAGCATGCATGGAGTCCGCTGGTCACCACTGAAGGACAGCCCCGGAGCCTTCAGCCCCGCTCATCAGCAGCAGACTCTGCATGTAGCGGTGTGGAACACGTGCAGCATTAAGTAGCAAGACTCAGCAGCTCGGCCTCAGGGACACTGTCAGGGTCAAGCAGCTGTTTGGCCTCCAGGCTGCTGATAAGTTTGTCCCTTCGCTCCTTATCATGAGTCTGAGCTGATGATGCATCCACTGAGAGACTTTTAGAAATAAAATCTTGTAGAAATACTCTTGTCATTGTAAGGCTGTATTGGAGTCTGAGTGTGCCATTGGAGCAATTAGTCTTCATATAAATTTATAATCCAGTGATATATGCAACATTTCAAAATAAGAGCTCCTGCTGCTCTGTAGAAAGGGCCTTGTTTCACACTTTGGTTCTTACTGTGACATTTACTCAGAAAACTGAAACTGTAAATGTTGGTAAATGTTAGCAGCAATCTCTTTAATGCATCATTTAAATGAAAATTAAACTAGACTTACAAAAGTAGGTATATTTGAGTCAAAGCAGCTGGTGCAACTCTGAACCAAACCAGAAGCACGCTGACCTGAGGAGACCCAGGAAGCTGAGGCCACCCAACAGTTCTGAAGCAGGTGGTTAGACAGGTTTGCAGTCTGGATGGTGACGCTCGCTGCCAGGATCTGCTCCATCCTTGAACCACAGGATCTGTGGACTCTGTCTGTGCAATGTACTATTTGTACTGTTTGTCCCTCACTGTCAGTACGTCCTCACTGCTGCTGACCAGGAGCCAACGTCTGGCTGCAACAATCTGCGGCCAGTTGCACAAAACACCTTAAGTTTTCTATCAAAGTATACCACTCAAGTTTTAGTTTATCCTTAGCTGAGGGAGTTACTTTAGGGTTATACAGAATCTCTTAAAAGGTTTCCTTAGTTAAGGAAAAAAGTTAAGGCATTTGTAGCTATGAAAAAGAAGTTTTTACTTGGAAACTGTTGAACTGACTTTAAGTTATTCCTTAGGTATAAGTCTAATAAGAAGAAAACCTTAAATACTAAAGTGAATGTTTTAAGTAAACGTTAAGGAGAGGACTTAAGGGTGTTTTGTGCAACTGTTTTTTTATTTTAAGGAAACCTTAAATCAGAGTTTAAGGAACATCTTAACTTAAGGCAACCGGCCTCTGGCTCTCATCGGATTCACTCTCAATCACATTCATTCATTCCTCCCACATCCTTGTGTGTTTATATTTTAGATGTGAAAGGTCATGAGTATGGTTATCATTTCATATCAACTACTTGTACCATCAAAGCTTTAAATGCAGCCGGGAGACAGCCAGACAGAGTCTCGATGAAGGTCTCTGACTCATTTCTTACAGGTGTGTATTTGATTCTGTGCCATTTCACCGCTCATGCAGTGAGACGCTGTTTGTGGCATTACGAGAAGCAAAGATGACACAGATGAATATTAAATAAATTCATTTAATACAACTGATCAAAACATTTTACATAACATAAAGAACAAATGCTCCATGGCTGCTGCTTTGCAGAGCAATCCAGGCACACAGGCTCTGTGTTTGTCCAGTCCCAGCTGTACCAGCCAGCCACGTGTTATAAAGCAGAAATATGGTATTAAAGCCTCTGGAAGCTTCAGTGCTGCTCAGGCAGCGTTGCTCAACACAGGATCCTCCGGAGGTTTGGCGGCGGGTCACCATCACTTCAGCAGGTGCCTCAGCTGGTCCTGCAGGTTTTTAGAATGCTCCACACTGGAGGACAGAAACAAGCATACACAGGAGAGGCAGTGCACGTCATTAGTGTGTGTGTTATGGCTCACAGAGGAGACAGTAATGTCAGCTCTTTCCACTAAAGCAGGGAAGTGTTTAGACTTACTTCTTCTGAATGGCCTCCTGCCTTAGTGACAGACAGACAGACAGACAGACAGACAGACAGACAGACAGACAGACAGACAGACAGACAGACAATCGAGTAAATATTCAGTTTGAACAAAAGCCAATGAGTTTCACATATGTGTAGTGATAATCAGCTGACTGATACTCACTGGTACTGTAAATGCGTGGTGATTATGGACATTTTTCTCAGACTCTGGAAGACAGAAGATAATGATGTTGAATTTCTAGTGGATTAGACAAACAAGAGACGGATCAATTTACCTCTACTTCACTGAACTGTCACAAGCGCTCAGTGAGCAGAGACTGAGTAGTATAATTTCACCTTTGTGGAACTGTTCAGGTTTGGTTCACAAATAGGAAGGTCAGCGGTTCGATTCCCGGCTCCGCCAGTCTGCTTTTGGAAGTGTCCTTGAGCAAGATACTGACACAAACTGCCCCCAGTGTATCAGCAGTGTGTGACTGTGTGTATGGTACGAAAGTGCTATATGTGTAGGAAAGAGCGTGGTGTGGGTAATTGGGTGAATAGTGCACGAGTGGTCAATAAGACTAGAAAAGACCATTTGCCTTAGAGACCTGGTGATTTAACTTTGGACTTTCTGTAGCGTGTGGTACTGTTGTCTTCCTCCTCTGTACTGAATAGTGACTCCAGTATTCTACTGTACAGCTTCACTGATGCACATTTCCATACTCACATCCTCAGAGTGCAGGATGGCGTCCTCCTGGATGACCATGTTTCTTGCTGCTTGACCAAGAAGCTGAAAGAGACATTAGTAACAATGTGGGTGCAATTAATGATTTTTTACATTATCAATCTGACTGAATGATTTTCTTGTTTGGTTTTATCAACTAGTTCCAAACTCAAAGCTCTTCACATGAAGATCCTCTCAGTGAGAGGCTGGCCCAGGAAATCTCGCGATTTTTGCTTGAAAAGCCTCAAACAAATAAAAGAATAACAGTTGAAACCGAGAGCTAAGAAGCACTTGTGTTAGGCAGATGCCACTCCATCTTCAGCACTGGTTTTCGGTTTGCATTACACCAACGCTAACGTTCATCTTCACTTTAATAACGTAACTAACTGTTTAATCATTTAGCTACATTAACAGTCCAGTAACAGAATCCTGTTAGCCTGTATTCGCTTAATCAAGTCAACGAAAATAAACCATGAAGCTCCACTTTCAAAATTAAATCGCCACGGGAGTCCGTGCAAAGTGTGTTATCGATGCTTTTATTTTGAATACAGCTGCTCTGGTGGTGTTTGTTCTCTCCGTGTATCTATCGTCGTGAGGAAGCTGTCATGATAAAAACCGCTCGTGTCGCTTTACCTCCTGACTGCGGGATCCTTTCAGAACCTGGCGGGTCAGTGCGATCACATCCCCGCTACAGGAGCCCACCTTGTCGGATAATAAACCTTTGACAGACTGGCCGAACCGCGGCTGGGGCTCAGCTGACGCCATTTTCTGTTTTGGTTTAGCGACGGTGCGCGGGCAGGGTCAAAAATAAACAGCAACGAGTCCGATAAACTCGCACTAAAATATTTCGTTTCACTGCAAAACAATTCATAATTCTGTAAAACTAAAAACAACGAATCTACTTTCGGTTGTATGTCATTATCACAGGCATATAATATGTAAACAGGCAACTGTAAATTGGCAGAGTTAGTTTAAAGTTCCTTGTCCATAGATTTGTTTGATTCATCTCACTGATGACAGTGTTATAAATCATCTGTTTTACTTACGACTAGACAACTGTCAAAGAATGAACTATGTCTATGTAAACTATGCACAGTATTTTTGCAAATAATGTGATGCTCTAGAGAACAAAAGAACGACACACAACAGAACAATAATGATAGTTAAAGGTCCCATATTTAGACTTCTCTGGTGGTTTACCGCCATACCATCTCAATATAGTTCTGCATTTACTATTTTGGGTTTCTCTCCGGAACTTAGCTGAGCTGATAAAAATGTAGCAGATTTCAAGTAAAACCATTACACTTAGAGAAACCAAATCCTGCAAGGCTGGACGCTGGGTCCAGGTAGGCTGTGCAGGGGCATGGCTGAGGGCAGTGACTGTTTCAGTGTGACATCACAAAGTTCCAGAAGTCCCGACGGCTGGTTTTAAGGCTCAGTTTGTGAACACAGGCTGTGTGCATTTCTCTGTGGACTGAGGCTTTGATACTTTCACAGTATTAATATAGAACCTAGACCTGCTTTATAATCAAACAACACATGGACAGAGAGTTGTTGTAGACTATATAATGGAACGCTTAAACTGAAAGACTTACAGCACAACGCACCATAATACCACAGTGTAGCAAATACTCTACTCACAAGTTAAAATACCTGAATTCAACAGTTCACTTGATGCTGCACTTTAAGTAAAAGTAGTAATACTGTAAAATATTATATGAATACAGCAAAACGCCCATTGTCATGTTGTCTGCTATTACTCTTGTGTGCAGCCTGTTGGGTAGCTGAAGAAGTTATATCAGTGTATCATATTTTCTGAAGTGATTATGTGCTTTTCTATGAATTTTTCATAGAAAGCATTAACCACTGCTGCCAGTTAAATGTAGCTGGAGTAGAAAATGTTATGTTCCAGAAAACTGAATACCTCCAGTAAACGTACGAGTAGCTCAAACTATGTACTACAACAACAAGCAGAATGTAATTAGTTACTCATCCACATGTTATGTGGGATATGTTTGTTGTGTTCTTGTTTTCGCAAGGATTCAATAAATCATGTGTGTCGTCTTATCTTGTTTAAATTAGCACCGCCTTACATTATCAGAGTCAAGGAATGTGGGCATTGAAGGAGCAGCATAAAAGCATTTCTTGCAGCAGCTCAGGACCGTCCTGCAGCTCTCTCTGTGTGATGTTTGGCCTGCCATGCTGAACCACACCGCTTCTGTCTGGGCCCTCTGCTGCAGATTGGCTTGGCTTCTGTGTCTGTGTACATTTTTGGTCGTGACTCTGGCTTGTTAGCAAGTGCAGGCATGTAAAGGCTCAGAGTAGTCTCTGTGTGGCCCTCCAGGAGCCCCCCTTGCTCCCAGACTACCCCTGATTGGCAGTCTGCTGAGTTTTGCGAAGTCCACACTCCTCATGTGCTTCTTTCAAAGACTGCAGAGGAAGTATGGGCAGACATACTCTTTGATGATGGGCTCCCACACCCGTCATCAGATCGTCAACCAGCACAAGACGCCAAAGAAGTGCACTGCTTAAGAAGGGAAAGACATTCGCAGGAGAAAACCCAGAACTGTGGTATACCTCTTCTCCAATGTCTTCTTCTTCTTCTTTCTCAGCAAGCAGCAGTCGTCATTTTATGTTTTCTCCTTTTCAATCCCTGTCCTGTGTGATGAAGGTGACCACAGACATTTGACAGAGAGTGGAAAAGACATTGCATTTGGAGACTACAGTAGCGTGCGACTTGGAGGTTCCACAGGAAAATAGTCACGGAGCTCTTGTGCATGTTTGGAGAGGGCTCAGCCTCCATCGAGAAGATCAGTGAGGTACACGACGTCACTACACTCTCAAAATGATTCCTCAAACTTTAAATTCTGTTTAGGCTTGCTCCTGACATGTCTTACGTTGCAGACTGCTTTGGTAAACAGACTTTATAAACTCTATTTATGATGAATATTGGAAGTTCTGTCTAAATCAGATTCGACAGCTGATCAGGTAATAAAGGGTCAGTTCAACAACCAAATTGCAGAACAGATGTTCTCTCTTCTCTCTCCATGGCAGATAGTTTTAGTTTTAATTTGTTCAGGTTCTAAGATTTCTTTCCAAAACCAAAATATGAAAAGTGGTGGAAAGGAAGAACGCAACAGAGCCTGGAACGCTGTGAGCCAGAAATCAGTGAGATTCCTCCACAAAGATCAGATTGAAATGTCGTGAACACATGAGCAGCATAGTCTGGAATATCATGTAACACTGTTTAAGGTTGGAATGCTTTCAACTGACTGTCTGACAGTTTAGTCATGGTCGACACCTAAAAGCTGGAGGCAGTGCGGATGAACGGTGAAAGGCTTTGTTTTTTTATCAGTGTTTGATTTAGAGAAGGGAGGACGTGGTTATCTTCCGGTAGACAGTTTGTACTCAGGTGTAACTCAAACTTCATATCAGTTGAGTTTGTTCCTATGTTGTTTTCTTTATTTATCAAGTGTCTCACATGCATCAAAAAGTGTTTTCATTAAGGTGAATACTGTGTGATGGTGCAGGATGTCCATTAAAACCCATGAAAGTACCTCACCACTCCTTCATCATGTTGGTACGCAGTATGGTAAGCGCTAAGTACAAATAATAGCTCAGGTATGTCCAGTACGATTTGAAGATACTTGTACTTTACTTAAGTATTTCTTATTTTTTAGTCACTTTATATATACTATCTACCATCAATGTAGTATCAGAGACTGTTTAGAAGCTCTTTCTGTGGACATTAACTTGTGATTTGAACAGCAGTTTACAGTAGTCTATAGCTTTGAAGATTAGTTTTTAGGCAAGCAAAGTAATGATCAGTTGCATAAAATAACTTGTGTGTTAAGACTAGTACATTAAATCTGCCCAACAGTCATATTGAAGGTCGTTAAAATTACTGAGTCACCAGCTGCAACAGTCAAAAGCATCTGTGGAGTAATCCAGATGAAACAATGACATCACATCTGACAGGTGTACTTTTACGTTATGATGTGTGCGTGGATGTCATCTTTAGCTGATACAGACATTATGTCCTGAATCCTTTGTGTTACTATGGGAGCCATCTTATAGGAGACGACTATGACTATGGTAATGGGAGCTCTTCCTTTCTACTTGAGGTCAAAAAGCATCTAGACGTAAGCTCTTACTACCCATTTGGTGTTCGAGTTGGAGAGGATGGCTGCAGAGGAATACGAGCGAGCTCCTCCACACCGTCCTATAGCAGACGCAGGAACATAGGCGATAATAGAGTCTTGTTTAATTTGGGAGCGAGGGTTTGTGTTAAATTGCTTTGACATGTGATGAGTAGAAAGTTTTGAAATCGAATTCCGCATGTAAACTGCTGTCACATCTTTATATGCTACT